CTCCCTGGGGCATGGAGCAAACAAGTAGCAAATAGAGTCGAGACATAGATCAATCCTTGACCTGATTAAATGCTGGTACAGTTAAGGGACTAAATGGCCTCTTCCTGTTACTATGTCCTGAGACAACACCCAGATGTAGTCACACTTCACGTTACTAACAACATAGCTCTGACTGAACTACATCAACCTGTCAACTTGTAAGCTGGTTCTGCAAAACATGCCTGATTATTTTCAGAAATTCCTCATTGACCAGTGCAATGCTATTTTAAATATACAGACTGTTGTATAGGAGGAGGCAGACAGAGACAACCAGTAAATGCAGCCTTAAATAAACAAATAAAAAATATTTTGAGTGTACATGATCTATCTTCTTGTCACTGAACTGAGTGACCTGCATTTCCTACCCAACTTACAACAGCAGCAATGGTTCATTGATCTCACTTTGACCAAAATGATTAAAAGTGCACCATGTCATTTAGGGATTCAGCGTGTGAGAACTTATGGTCAGCTCTCAAAGGAGTAAACATCAAGAGCAAGCTCTCGAATCAGCCATACCCAATCTTAAATTAACGCGCCAGAAAGCTGCCATTAAAAGTGTGACTTTTGAACACTATTACAACACTAATCATGGTATTACTGTATTGAAGTGATTATGAATACTGCTTTAAGGAAGTGGAGGTGAGTTAGCGTCAGATCTAGAAATGCATGGAAGATAGCTTACCCACCCCTGCTACTTTACACTGAAAGTAGGCAAACACCTTAAAAAATAAATCTAATTTCTTCACAAAAGGAAACATGGGGTGGGAGGAGGGGAGAAAGAGGAAAGGCTAGGGATTGAAGCAGTTCTCATACAACACTCTCTGCTTCAACTTTGTTTCCCTCAATAATTACTGTCCTGCCTCATATGCATATCTTGAGAGGGGTACTTTTGAAAACAAAAGTTATTGTGGCAATTAATTAAATACACCTCAAATAATAGGGTTCAGATCAACAAACACTGAATCTGGATTTGGAGATATCTGTAGGGGTTTGAACAGGCTCACTGCACAACGTGTTTACATCTCTTTTCAAGACCAATATCTCTTTGACTTTATTGAAAGGGTGACTATCTTGGTGAGACTATAACTAATTCTTTGGATTGCACTGAACCAGCACAGTGAGAGTGTGACTGGGAGGCGTGCTAGCACCACATTGTACCCAGAACAAAAGGCATTTGGGTGATTCAGGGATTCCAGGAACTGTCACCTGATCGAGTATTTAAAAAAAAGCTGAATGATTCCACATCTCCAGCTGAGAATCAGGAAGAAAAGAGCTATTCGGCAATCAGAGCAACTGAATGATGATCTGGCAAAACAACTACCTCCACAGTGAATTTTTGTTCTACACAAGCTTAGGATTGATTTGTTGGGTGGAACTTGTGATCACCACAAGTTAGTCCCTTCACCGTGACTATTTATGGACTATTTTGAGAATTGGGGTCATAATTTATTATAATCTTCTATGTTTAGCTATTCAGACTCACTTCTGCATATTCTAGTAGGGGGAGGGGGTAGTGAGTGGAAGACAGGGATATTCGGTGTGCATTTTCCACATTAATGTGTCATTAAAACATTCATGTCAACAAAAAAAAACAGAAATCTAAAAAAATGAGCAATTGGGGAGGGGTATAAAATGGGGTATATTTTGTAATTCTTTCCTATTGCAATAGGCAGTCACTGCGCTCTGCCTTCTGTCTCTAGCACCGAAAGCTGCAGACACTGATCAACAGGATTAGAAACTGTGAATGTACATCTGAGATCAGACTTGTATGTCAAGGGAAGTCACGTGACTCGGCCTTATTGCTGATGCTGCAGATTCCCTTCCCCCAGCACCCCCTGAACTATGGTGATGCAGCAAAACATGCAACGAGCATCATTTGTTTTCTTTCTAGAAACAGGTTTACTTACAAAAAGATGCAGTCTTTCCCCAACTTCAAAAAGAACAAAAATTGGCTCACTTTCTTCTAAAAGAAAATGCAGGCAGTAGTTAAGTGATACTTTTGATTTCCCATTTTCCCTCATGTCTGTCTATGGCACTATAAATATCATCAGAAATGAACCTTTCCCTTTGTGGCAGTATTCTAGCTGGCAAGCGCAAGTGATAAAGTCATTCTCAGCTGGGTCCTGGCACAGTGATAAATGGAGTCTTTGTTAGACATTTATATTGTCTGACAAAATCTAAACATTGAATTACACTAAACAAATACCGTAGCTGGGTGGGGGGTAGGTTAAGCAGATTTATTTTAGCCAACCTAGCCTCTGTATCTGTGTGTCGGTCTGGATGGGTGCGGGAGGGGGGGCAACAGAGAAACAGAGCCACAGACAGACAAAGATGCCTTAGGCATTTCTAGCACTTCCGGAGTAGCTGCTACGCAGAAAGAACAAAAATCAATAGCTAGGCAAGAATCATGCCACTAAAGTCAAAGTACATGCATGCCATCTTGCACTATGCTATTCATTAAAACAGAAACGTCTGCAGATTTCAAGGTCACACCATAGCGGTTTTTCATTTTATATGTGTATATATAACCACTCCCTACTGTACCTAATGACATCACAATGCTCACAACACTGTCAATGTGCTCCCTTCTCCACCCCACTCAAGCATTACTTATTTTAAAGGAAGAAGTAATCACAGACACTAATAAAGTATTAATAAAATGCCAGAAAACTGTATTTGGCAATTTTAACAAGTGCATACAGGTACAACTAGAAGCATTCAGTTTTTTTTTGCCAAGTGCTCTGAAAGCAATGTTAGTCACAGTCTACATTAAACAGTTACTGTCACCAAGAAAAAAGGCCAGTACAGAAAGATTTTGCCAATAATGTATAATAATGATTTACATCATAGAGAGGAAAAACGATTATGAGTACATACCTTCTTAATCTTCAAAAAATATAGAAACACAATGTATTGAAAATCAAAATTGTACAGCCATGTTTACGTGTTGAGTATATACAATTAAATCAGTTTTTTGGGAGTTTCAAGAGTGTCGTTCTCTTTTTTAAAAAAAAACACAAACACACAAACGCGAATCATGGGTCTCTCTCCTTTTTTACTTTGACGTCTCCAGCAAGGATGGTGGCAATCTCTCCTTGCATAAAAGCCCAGGGCACATTGGAGCCAACCAGTGGGCACTTCTCTCCGCTGGGGCAGTACACCTCGCCTGTGGCTCCCTGTTGCTTGATGCTCTCCCTGGAGCAGGGGAAGCAGAATTTGTGCGAGGGCACCGATGGGCACTGCACAAAGTGGGTGTCCTCCAAGCGTTCATGGCATAACGTACAACAGAGCGGCACGCTGCTGGGCACCGAGGAGTCTGGAATGTTTGGCGGGTGAACTGGCTCAATGCCTGGGTGAGGGTTACCCGCCGGCGCAGCTGCGTCCCGGTGACCCATCCGCCTCTGGTTCAGGGACGACGGCGAGAGGGGGCTGCTGCTATTGCGTCGGGTGGTCGAATGGACCTGTCCAGCTTCCTTTGGCGAGTGCACACTGCCCGCGTTGTCCGCCACCAGAATCAGGGCGGCCATGGGAGACTGTCCATTCTGCCCGCCATCCGGCGGCGTGGAGTGGGGCGATGGCGACGGGGCATAGGGTGCTGGCGTCATCTTCAACCCATCGGTGGACATCAGGGGCCAAGGCTGCCCCTCCCCGTTGACCTTGCTGCCAAGGGGTGGCCCCGTCCCTTCGGAGTCTGGTTCAGGCGACGCTTTCCTCTTGCGTCCTCCCCGAGTACCTGGTGATGGAGGAGGAAGGAGTGGGAATGAGGGAGGAGGGGATGTCATATTAAAGGCAGCTTGGCAACACAGAAAACAACAATAGTAGGCACCTTAAAGAAAAATAAACGCACACTCATTGTCTGGCTGCTTTTGTAGTCAAGCCCCACTTCCCGGAAGTAGCACGCTCTTGTCACAGGCCTGATGGGCCGATTGGCCTTCTTTCCACCATTTTATCAATAAAGATGAGCAGAGGTAACCCCCTACCAGCCCTCACACCCCCCTTTCCTGATTCTAGCTTCATCCCACTGTGTTTGCAAACACAGGGAGACAGAGAGTTCCCTGCGGCATGCAAAGGTAGCCTCAGCTCGCACCCCACCTCCCCCAAACACAGCCCTCACCACCTGCCCGTTCCTCCTGCAGCAACTTTGTGCATTGGGTTATTGGTACAGTAGATCTGAGAGTGCTGCACTTCTCTAGCGCCTACCTGACTTGGCTGCAGCCGCCGCTGCCGCCGCAGCCGTGGCCTCGAAAGCCAGCACCCGGCCGTGCTGCAGCGGGTGCTCCTTCTTGAAGCGGACATCGAAAGGCGGGTGACCGGCCAGGCTCATCAGCGTCTCCTTCACCGTCTTGGGCTTACCGGCCCAGTCGTCGACCCGGTTCTTGAGGCTGTCGGCCAGCTCGGCCAGGCCTTCGGCTCGGTGCTTACTGCTGCTGCAGTCCTTGGCGGTCGCCTCGTGTTCCGGGGGAGCGGAGGAGGAGGAGGAGGATCCGCTACCGGGCCGTTTGTTTACATCCAGGAGGCGACCGTTCACACCGTGCGGCTGGGAGGACGAGGACGAGGAGGAGGAGGAGGAAGAGGACGACGACGAAGGAGTAGGTGGAGGAGGCAGAGAGTGCGAGCTGCCGTTCACCATGGGCACCAGGCTGGGGAGCGGCGGCGGGGGAGCCCCCCTCCTCGAGTTGGGACTCTGCCGGTTCAGCTCGGGTGGCTCGTCCGCCCCCTTGGCGTAGCCGTTCAGCAGCGAGCCGTTCTGCCGAGCCGAGGTCGGGAAATCCAAGCGAGGGGGAGGCCGGTCTGATGCCAGCGGGTACCGATCCAGCGGCTGGGGCGGCCTGGTTGAGCAGCCGTCCGACGGGTGCACCAGCGGCGCCGAGCTCTCCTTAGCCAGGGCCGCTTTGGCGGCGACGGCGACCGGCCCCGGCGAGCGGCCCTCCTGGAAACCGTGTGCCCGCTTCAGTTGGCGGGCCGTGTCGATCACGAACTCGATGCGGTCGGCACCCTCGTAGTTGACGCACCCCCGGCACACGGGCTCAGTGAAGTCCCAGATCATCGCCCACGGCATGCGGGGCAGGTCGCACAGGTAACAGGACTGTCTCCGGGTGGAGGCGACCGTGGCGGACGACATGGCGAGCGGTGGCAGATCCGAGATCCTCTTCCCTCTTGAGTGAGAGGTGGAGGAGAGGAGGGGAGGTGTGTGGGGTGGGGTGAGGAGGAGGAGGGGGAGTAGGGGGTGGGGTAGTCTCCGGCTCAGGGTGTCGCACCCGCTGTTCTCACAGTCTCTGGGTGGGTGTGTGTCTCACTCTGTGTGTATGTGTGTATGTGTATGTGTAATGCAGGATTCGCCCTCCGTCCCTCTCCACCTTTTTCTTGCTGACTATGCAACAATCTCGATGCAACAAAAAAGGATACAATAACAATCCAACAACAACACGGCGATGTTAACAGAGACAGCGAAAAAAAAACAGAAACAAAGTATCTACATGAAATGGTTACTAAGTTGCAACTTCATGGCAGCGGCAGCGCCTGTCCCCGGAGCGCGCGGCCCGGACTCACTCGTTCGCTCTCCCTCTCACTGCCCCTTCCTCGCTTGCCCCGGCCTGACGTCACCTGTCAATCACTCACCCCACCTCCTGGACCCACAGCGGTTCTTCGACAGCCGCCCCGCGCATGCGCCGCGCGACCCCTCCCCCCCGATCCATCCCTTCGCCAGTGCGAGGAGCTGGGGTGGACCTCTGGTGACGTAGTTCCATTGTCCTTGCCCCGCCCCCTCCTCCGTCTTGGGGGGTGGAAGGTAGAGGTGCGCATGCGTTCCCCTCCCCTCCATTCCTTCTCACGCTCCGTGTCATGAAGAGCTCCGTTTACCAACATTCCATTCGGAATGCCACGGCGGCGCGCACCACCACCAGCCCGCACCCGGGGCGCGCGCCTCACCGGCATCCCTGCAGCGTTGACTCGTGTTTTTTGAATTCTTCATTTTGCAGCAGCGGATTGCAATGCCAGAGAGAAAAAAGAAGTAACCAAAACCCGGGGCCAGCCTCACCAGACGGAAACGCCAGTCAATGCAAAGAAAGCGCCTTTGAGAAAAGAAAAACGCGCGCACACACAAGAGGGCAGTGAAAGGAGATCCTGAGCGCACTGCAAATTAGTGATTCAACCACTCTAAAATTAGAAGCGGCGGTCATGAATGGGACTTTTTCTTTCCCCCCAACCCGTCCCACACAACCCCAATAAATAAAAGTGCCAACGTGTAGATTCATTGTTTTTATGCTTTTGTGTGCTTTTCTTATTTCCTCACCTGGCGGGCCCGCCTTCTTTAACCCTTCAGGGGCTTCTTGGTGCATTGCTCTTCGAAGATTGCGTTAACCATTTCCGAACAAAAAAAGCTTGCAATGAAAGTGCGTTAGTAGGATGATTTTCGCATTTTTTAAAATTAAAAATCCACCGAAGTCCTCCTCCCTCCCCCATCGGCCTCATATTGAAGGGGCTTTAAGATGTAAATGGAGTTCTTGAAATAATTTGCCAGAAATAAAACAGGCGGGGATACGGTGAAGCAGAGAGCGTTAATCTAAGTCCCTGTACTGTATGTACACAGTACAGCCCGGGATGAGGTCAAGGTCCGGTTCTAATGCCCTCCTGTTGATATTGGAAATGTCACAGGAACTTATGCCAACTACATGCTGCAAGCCTTTGACCTTCCTGTGTTTTATTTTTGCACTGCAAATGAAGGAGTCTAATTATGCATCTATTTGCGAAAAGAAACAACCCTTACCCCCATTTTGTTTCATTTTTGCTAGACGCTACGCGTCTGTATGGAAAGCCCTCTGTGTACGGTTTGCACACTATTTTTCTCCCGCAGTTTCGTTTTTAAATACGCAGGGGATTAAATACGGTGCAACACGCGGCTGTTGCACATCGTTATTATTTGACACATGTTTTCTCCGTGAGTTCTCTTGTCAATGGTGCATTGTAGCATGTTTACAACTTAACAGGGCACTTCTGAAGATTTCCCTTCTAAATAATGAGCTCATTGCAAAATGTGTCATCAAAAAAAATACTCCGGCGCTGGCGGGGGTTGGACAAATGTCAACATTCAAGCAGAAATACCGAACATTGCGCGTTACTATTTCCAATGTAATGACATCAATTCACAAGTAGCAGACCATTTTGTTTCAAGTTTTTTGAGGGATGTGAATCGCAAACACGAAAAGAAATTAATTTATTTAGTGTGTAAGAAGGATAACTATAAACAAATAAAAGTCAACATACGCGACCTGGATTTTGACAATAAAGTCTGTGAAACGACTGAGTAAGCAAACAGTGGACACATTTCCATTTTAAGAAATGCGTGCTGCTAAAAATGTGTGGCTATTTAAAACAGCAGCTGTATATCCAAGCAGGCTTCAATAAAAGGGAGTGCTTGGGGCAAATGGGACTAAATATTTCGTACCTTTATAATTACCACGTTCCAATTTTCCTAAGACAAATGTTGGGTGGGTTCCCTTTTCCCCTTCTGAGAACCGAGTAGGGGTGGGGGACCCCCCACTCTGCCTTTTAGAGTTGGACATAAAGGAGCGAGGTTCGTAGTTTCGCTCCGAACCGGGTGAGGCAATGCGTAAGAAATGTGCATACACACAAAACAACAAGATGTGGGTGAGGGTTGCTGCTGTTGGGTGCCTGCGATCATTACTTTCCTGAAAGAGGATGTTAGGCAGTTCAGTCACGTACACACTCTTTCTCTCTGAGTGCCCAACCCCTCAGGCTCTTGCTCAGCTTGGGCACTGAGCCAAGCTGACAGTGCGCAGGCGCTCTCCCCACCCCCGCCTGGCAAAGGGAAACTTGGAGCGAAGCCAGCAGTCATTGCAGCAAGCGAAGCTCTCCCAACAAGGCGATCTTTACATTTCTGTCCTGTCGCTTCCTGCACTGGAGAACCTCGACAACATGCTCACTTTTTACAGATACCCTGAACTCATATCTACCGAAATGAGGCATTCAAATCACACCAGTACACGAGTATTCATATAACATCATCAAGGAAATAGAAGCAGACTTGTGTAAAACAAAGAGCAGACAGCATGAGTGGCATGTTTCGGTGCTGTTCATTTCACTAATACGTTCTTGTTATCAATAAATTATATATGTCTCATATATAGTACGCACGGCGCCATATAGTGCACAGATTACACAGCATATATATTTATATTAAAATAATAAGAGTAATCTCAACTCTGTTATTGTAGCAGCTTGCTGTGCAGTGCAAACAATTTGGTGGGTAAATAAAACACTATTGGCGCAATTCACGATCAACCGAAAAGATTGTGAAACGCCATTTGTTGCATCAAATACTTTTCCAAACTGCAGTAGGATGTTTCAAGTGTTTGCAGGACTTTGCACGGGGACGGGGTGGGGGGGAGGTGTGATGGCGGTGGATTGTTGCGAACATGCCACGTAGGCTCATTTCTCATCCGCTCTCTCCTTGGATTCTCTCCCTCGTTGCAATAGCAGGAAACAGTGGAAACTCATGCTGGCAAATGCAGAGAGAGAGAGACTTGTAAATACTGCCCTGATTCCAGCTGTAATATTCTCGGCCTCACTATAATTGAGACATGAAGACTCAGCTAGTATTCTGGGATCTTCCTCCTCACACGAGTAATTCTATCCGAGCAGTTTGTGGACACATGTTTGAAACCGTGATTCTGATTTCAGTCTATATTTCTTTGTTCAGCACCGGCTTTTGTGGCGTGTGTGTGTGTGCACGCAGATCCGAAATAAACTCCTACTTTAATGATACGAATCAATACATTTTAACAATGACCTATCCCGACTCTATTTTATTTACAGAATGATCAATGTAACTGCTTTGGAACAAATGCACAAATATTTCTGTTCAGTGTCAGCTGACAGAAGGAATTGACGGTGAATTGTATTAGCGTCAATTTCAAGCCACAATAGAGAAGAAGCGGCAGCGGAGTGCAACAACAGACTCGAGATTGTTTGAATTGATGGGATTATGCACGCTGCGCTGATTTCCTTTTTTCTTTTAAAAAAATAAATCCCCTCAGGTACAGATGGGGAAAGAATGATGTTTGAAGACACACATGACTAATTAGCCTGTCTCACTTCATTCCTCTACAGCAGCATTAGGCTTTGTTTACTGATACAGATGCAAAGTGAATGCTAATCTGGTGAGCGAAACCAACACGTGGTTTTTGCAGACAGCAGATGGGAACTTCTGATGTAAAGAGTTTTTTTTAAAAATAAAGGGCTTGTAACCCTTGCAGTTCCGGAACAGCTTTACGTTGGCGCCTCATGTACAGGAGCGACACTTCCCCATTGCTAGCTGCTCTTTCCTGTTGGAGGTTTGCGGGTTATTTACTAGCATGTCATTTTCAACAGTTTTGTTTTAAATAAAGAGCTGACAGGAAAAGGACGGGAGAGATAGTAGGAACTGCAGATGCTGGAGAATCCGAGACAACAAGGTGCAGGGCTGGATGAACACAGCAGGCCAAGCAGCATCATAACTTGTTTTCGTTTCTGTAGCACGATGTCCATTGACAGCACTAAGTGAGGTCACTGGTCTGAAGGCGTGGCTGGAGATCACATCAGTCTCTCGGAGAGACTGAACCTCCTATCGTACAGCCCTCTTAAATGTTAATATGACATGAACCCACAACTTCCTGATTCAGCCACTGTCTGAGGTACAGAAGTGTCTTGGAAAGTCTTGACCTGGAGTCACATGGCCTTGTAATAGGCGTGATGTTCAACAAGCTAAGTGACCTTCTCAGGTATGGGAGGGTTCCAGCTACACCGTCAGTATCAGTAACCTCCTGTTGGCACCTCCACAACATCTAACTCCTCTGCTGCTGAAGGATCATTCTTGCCCTTTGTTTCCTCTTACGCTGAACACTTTCCTGGAAAGCCTACCATTATCTCCCCAACTACCTATATCCTAAATTACACCCAATCTTGTTCACCATCTTTTTCCGCTGTGCTGGCTGACACACATTGGTTCCAATACAGTCTAACAATGGTCTCATTTTAAAATTTGCTATGTTCAGTTCCCTGAATAGCGCCAGTCCTCTATCTCTGTAACTTCCAACAGCCTAACTACAACCTTTCAAGTTCTCCGGTCTTCCAATTTCAGCCACTCATATCCCCACTTTTCTCTTTAGGAACTTTGGTATTGGTCCCTTCATTGGCAAGGCCCTGAGCCTGTATAACCCTCTCAACTCTCTTCCTTCTTTAGTTACCTGCTATCTCCTCATGAGGCTCAATACCAATGTTTATCTGATAACACTCCTATGAAGCACCTTGTGATGTATATTTAGGGGAGGCAATGGCCAAGTGGTATTATTGCTAGACTATTAATCCAGAAACTCAGCTAATGTCCTGAGGACCCAAGTTCAAATCCTGCCATAGCAGATGAATCTGGAATTAAGGGTATAACGATAACCATTAAATGATTGTCAATTGTTGGATAAAATCCATCAGGTTCACTAATGTTCTTTAGGGAAGGAAATCTGCCATTCTTACCTGGTCTGGATTACATATGACACCAGACCCACAGCTTAATGGGCAATTAGGGATGGGCAATAAATGCTGGCTTAGGCAAAAATGCCCACATCTATGAGTGCATAAAACAAAATTGTTTTAAAGGTGCTACATTAGTGCAAGGTCGTTGCTGATTCAGTTCTAATTCATTGTGCTCATTGGTTTTGTGTCAGTGATGTGACTTATTCAGGTGGTCTTGCAGTACCCTGGGAAGTACTCATCCTCTGAGTTAGAAGCTCCGGCTTTGAACCTTGTTGGCCATGGAGATTTGCTACCTACCTCGGCCAAACAGTTTGATGGTTAGCCTGTAAGCCTTTCCAATATGCCTGATGATAGGTATTAAGAGTTGAAGAGTCTCTTGGTCAGCCATCTGCAGAAGACAATGACAAACCACACGCAGTACTTTGTCCAATAAACATGGACCTTTCCAAGAGAAGTCCAGGTTCCAGCTGTTAGAAATAGGAACAGGAGAAAAGATTGACAGGTGTAACTTGGCCAATGACTGGATTCAGAGTGTCTGAGCCACGTACACATGTGTAAATGACTTCTGTCATCCTGGGTTTGCCTCACTTTGGCTATGTATGTGAATTTATGACAGAGTTCTGTACTCCAAATCAAACTAGAGGGAATTTGTTGGCTCTTGGTTTAAACCAATTGAGACACAGTGCTTTATAGATGTACAGTCATTCAGCCAGGACTGCTATTCAATCCCA